GCGCCATTGCACTCCAGCCTGGGTAACAAGAGGGAAACTCCGTCTCAAAAAAAAGAAAGAAAGAACAGTCTTATGTACTCTTTTAACAATCTCACAATGCATGAATCACTATCAACAGTGAGCAAATAATCCAGTCCTGCAGAGTTACTGCCTCTCATTATCTGATTTTTTTTTCTTTTTTCTTTTTTTTCTTTTTGAGATAGGGTCTCACTTTGTCACCCAGACTGGAGTGCAGGAGCCCAATCTCAGTTTACTGCAGTTTCAACCTCCCAGGCTCAAGTGATCCTCCCACCTCAGCCTTTTCTCCAATAATGACCCAAATAATAACTTCTGCTGGCATGTCTTCTGAGTCTCCATTTCCTCCACAGATATTCATCCAAATAATAAAAGTAACACAATTACAATGGAGTTTACCATTATTAATGGCATTCTCATCACAGTTGTTACAGATCAAATACGGTTCATTAGCTGAGATTTAATTCCTGGCTCCTCCCCGAATACACCAATTCCCTGGTCTGTTCTCCAGCCTATGTTCTTGAGGAACTCTCCTTGTGCAGCATGGCAATGGCGCTGACTGATACAGAGTAGGGCTGCTTCCAGCAGTGAATACAGAGTAAAGGCCATGACCATTAAAGCTTCCCTGAGGTCCAACTGATTCCTCTCTGCTGCCACAAGGGACTTGGCACTGCCATTGCTGGCACTTTCCTCTGCATTTTTTTTATTTTTTTATTTTTAATGTTTTTTTAGAGATGGGGTTTCACCATGTTGCCCAGGCTGGTCATGAACTCCTGAGCTCAGGCAATCCACTCACCTCGGCCTCCCAAAGTGCTGGGATTACAGGCATGAGCCTGCATTTGTCTTTAATTTAAACCATGGGGGAGAATAAACCAAGAGCTCTCCCTACCCAAGAGAATCTCTATTTTGTTTTAATTATAATTTTTTTTTAAGTTACGTTCTAAGCCAAATTAGACCTTACACCTTATATCTTTATAAAGTTCTAACCCACTGTTATGCCAGAACATCACTTGGACATTAGTTTTCAAACAAGAACAATTTCATCCTGATCCCACCCTCACAGGGACATTCAGTATTTTTTTTTTTTAAGAGATAAGGTCTTGCTCTGTCACCTAGGCTGGAGTGCAGTGATATGATCATAGCTCGCTGCACCCTTGAACTCCTGTGCTCAAGCAATCCTCCCACCTCAGCCTCCTGGGTAGCTAGAATTATAGGCACCTGCCACTACATCTGGACCACTTGGCATTGTTTGAAGAAATTTTTGGTTGTCACAACTGAAGAAAGGAGGTTTTGCTACTAGTATCTAGCTGGTAAAGGCTGCCAAACTTCCTAATGTACAGGACAGCAAATAATTAGTCCCACATCACAATAATGCTGAGGCTGACAAACCCTGCTTTCAGAGATAAAGCTTAGCTCTATTGTGTAACTCATACTTGATTAACTTAATCACATCAGAACTCAAATTCCAGCAAAGGAAATAAACATTAGGAAAATTTGAATCTCAAGATGTTTGACTTAAAATTAATTTGGCAGGCAATGACAATACAGCATCAAAACTTCTCCTTTCTAGTTCGACTTACATAGTCACAATCTACCTCTGAAACTTCAAAATCCATTTTCATTCGACAGTATATTTTGGTGGTTTAAAAGTGTATGGGGGTGATTCTGGAAAAAGACAAGTCTGCATTCAAATTCCAGCTCTAACACTTGCTAGCTTTAAGTATTCAACCTTACCAGTATTCAATTTCCTTACCTATAATATCAGACTAATAACATCCGTCTCAAAGTTTTTTAAGGATTAAATGAAAAATACATTGAAAGCACTGGGCAAATGTATCTAGAATACAATAAATATTAAAAATTTATTTAATTTGAAGAGCAATTACAGTTAAAAGTATGGACTTTTAAAAATCCCTGCCCTATTGACCATGCCTAAAATATCTCAATGTATCATCATGACAAATTTAAAAGTAATTCATAGAATTATTTCACCATTTTTTTTTTTTTTTTTTGAGACAGAGTTTCACTCATGTTACCCAGGCTGGAGTGCAATGGTGCGATCTCGGCTCACCGCAACCTCCGCCTCCTGGGTTCAGGCAATTCTCCTGCCTCAGCCTCCTGAGTAGCTGGGATTACAGGCACGCACCACCATGCCCAGCTAATGTTTTGTATTTTTAGTAGAGACGGGGTTTCACCATGTTGACCAGGATGGTCTCGATCTCTTGACCTTGTGATCCACCCGTCTCGGCCTCCCAAAGTGCTGGGATTACAGGCTTGAGCCACCGCGCCCGGCCTGAATTATTTCACCATTTACAAGCAATATCTGTAATTTGTTTCAGAGACTAAGTCACTAAAAAGTTAAAATCCAACACAAAGAGAGATTACTCACCTCTGGAGATTTCTGTACATTCTGGAATACTGCATAGGCAATAAGTGAACTTGAACCTATAACACTGAGAGATTTAGCAGATGATTGATCATTAAGGCAGGACAATGAAGTACCATCATTTTTGTCATTTTGTTATTTTTACAGTTTTATTGGCATAATTGATATAAAATGAACTGCATTAATTATTTTTTTTATACTCAGGGTCCTGCTATGTCAGCCAGGCTAGAGTGCAGTGGTGCCATTATAGTTCAATGTAACCTTGAACTACTGAGCCCCAGTGATCCTCCTGTCTCAGCCTCCTGAGTAGCTAGGACTACAGGTGTACATCACCACATCTGGCTAATTATTTTATTTTTTGTAGAGGCAGGGTCTTGCTATGTTGCCCAGGCTGGTCTCAAACTCCTGACCTCATGTGATCCTCTCACCTTGGCCTCTCAAGCACTGAGATTACAAGTGTGAGCCACCATGCCCAGCCCTGCACATATTTTTTTTTATTTTTTTATTTTTAATTATATTATTTAGAGATAGGGTCCCCTTCTGTCACTCCAGGCTAGAGTGCAGTGGTACAATCACAGCTTACTGCAGCCTCCAACTCCTGGGCTAAAGTGATCCTCCTGCGTATGCCCCCTGAGTAGCTGGAACTACAGGCATGTGCTACCATGCCCTGCTAATTTAAAAAATTTTTTTGTACAGACAGGATCTCACTATGTTGCCCAGGCTGGTCTCAAACTCCTGGGCTCAGGCCATCCTCTTGCCTCAGCCTCCCAAAGTGCTGGGATTACAGGCATGGGCCACCACATCCAGCCAATATTTTTAAACAAATATAGAATGCTTCACAAATCTGCATGTTCTCCTTATGCAAGGCCATGTCAATCATTTTTTTTTTTTTTTTTTTGAGACAGGCTCTCACTCTGTCAACCAGGCTGGAGTACAGGGGCACAATTATGGTTCCTCCTGGGTAGCTGGAACTACAGAAACATGCTACCACGTCCAGCTACTTTTTTGTTTTGTTTTGTTTTGTTTTTTTGGAGGGACAGGGTTTCACCATGTTGTCCAGGATGGTCTCAAATTCCTGAGCTCAAGTGATCTGCCCACCTCAGCCTCCCAAAGTGTTAGGATTACAGGTGTGAGCTCAGCCCTACCAATATTCTCTATATCATTCTAATTTTTAGAATATGTGCTGCTTAAGTAAGCACTTTGCTATTGATTTTTGCAATTGATCCTGTTAATCAGGTTGTCCACTGATTTTCAGATGTTATCCTTTAATCAATTTTTTGTTGCTATTGTTAATATTGTCTTTTCATTAGTAAGAAAATATCAACATGATAAAGAATATCATTTCTCTTTGACTAAAGAGTAAAAGCAAATCCCTGAGGGAAAAATGTGGAAAACAACAGAATTGTTGAATTTTGCTTATACTGGTTTAGTTTTATGCAATTAAATAAACATACCTCAGAGTAGCCATGACAAATTGTATCCACTGTATTGCAGGTAAAATCTAAGTAAAACAAGGAAAAGAGAATAAAATTAAACCTTTTACATTGAATATTCAACCTAACTCTAAGTTCACTGTTTACTATCTGTACAGCATAAATTTTTCTTCAAAGCATAATCTCAAAACATACTACAAGCTGAAAATAAGTGAAAAGGCTGAACAGGCCCCTGGAAAGACAGGGTGATCCCTTTTTTCCTCTCTTATTTCTATTTCTCTGGGAAATGGTATGATTTTTTCAAAAAATAGAGCAGTGGATTAAAAATGACTAAATGAAAAAGGAAGCTAGCCAGGCACTGTGGCTCATGCCTGTAATGCCAACACTTAGGAAGGCTGAAGTAAGAAGATCACCTGAGGCCAGGAGTTCAAGGAAAAAAAAAAGAAAAAAACTGGGTGAGAAAACTAATAAAAGAATAAAATGGAGAAGAGGTAGGAAAAGTTAAATGTTGAGAGAGAATACAGAGATGTGTGGAAATAATAGGTTACAGAAAAGACAAACACTAGAGTTCACTGATAGGTAGAAAGAGGAAAGATAGAATAGTAAAACAGAGAAACGGAAGAAAAGTTAGCAGTATGGAGAGATCATGAGTGAAAAATGCAGAACACGGAAGAAGAAAGGGAGAGCACAAAGGAAGAGAGGGAGAGCTTTCTGATCTTACCAAGTCCCAACTGTCCTCCAGAATGCTAGCCTCTAGCAGAAAGGCCATAGGGACTTCAGTCCTAGCTACCCTTGAGCAGCCGTTCCTTCCCAGTCAGCTTCTGAATCCTGAAGCAGTGAACAGGTGGCTCCACCCCTACCCCAGCTGGGCTCCTCCTATACCTAATCCTGCTCTGTACCTTGAGGGCAAGGAGAGGGGTGGTGACGAATGGAGAAGAAAGTCAAGCAGAAAGAACAAAAACAGAAAGACCAGGTGACAGGGAAACAAGTTTTAAGTGGCATTAAGAATTAAAAGAGGCAAGAGGCAGGAGTAATAAAAAGCAGACAAATACAGAAGGGGCAGGATTGAGAATAAAAGAATGAGTTATAGTAAAAAGATAAATAAAGCTGCAATAGAGAAATGGAACCAAAAAAAGGGGTGGGGGAGAAATAAAAGGGACAGAAAAGAGTTGTCCCTAAAATTTGCCCTTGTTTAGAGACAGAAGCCTGTGATAGAAAAGAGAGATTGCATATTCACTCAATTAATAAAGTGAAAAGCTGAGGTTATTAATCTTCATCATAAATTATTCATTAATACATTAATGTTTAAATATCAACTTTGTGTAAAGCAATATGTTATGGAAGATATAAAGAGAAATAAGATACAGACCCAGCCTTCTAACAGCTTATAATATAGTAGGAAAAATGGCCTGAATACCAAAAACTCAAATGAGCTGCACACAGCAAGAATATGCCTATACAAAGTAGCATTCAAAGAGGATTTGGAAGAACTGATAAAATTTGGACAAAGACTGGAGGAAAAGGGAGAGCAGAAGGAAGATCATTCATTTATGTAACCATTTATCTTTAATCTAGCCATACTTTCATATAGTCTATAAATCCTTATTGATAACAAGTTAAATCACTTGCATGGCTAATTTAAATATACGACTAATTTATTCATATCAGGTTAAAATTACAGTCCAAAACAAAACAAACTACAGCTGAGTGTAATGTCATGCACCTGTGGTCTCAGTTACTTGGGAGGGGGAGGCCGAAGGGTCTCTTGAGGCTGCAGTGTGCTATGACTATTCCTGTAAATAGTCATTGTACTCCAATCTGGACAGCATAGCGAAACACTATCTCTAACACAAAATAAAACATGGCTGGGTGTGCTGGCCTACGCCTGTAATCCCAGCACTTTAGGAGGCCAAGGCGGGCGGATCACTTGAGGTCAGGAGTTTGAGACCAGCCTGGCCAACATGGCGAAACTTTGTCTCTACTAAAAATACAAATATTAGCCAGGTGGGTGGCATGCACCTGTAATCCCAGCTAGTTGGGAGGCTGAGGCATGAGAATCGCTTGAACTCAGGAGGCGGAAGTTGCAGTGACCTGAGATTACAACACTGTACTCCAGCCTGGACAACAGAGTGAGACTCCATCTCAAAATAAACAAAAATAAAAATGGAAACCAAACCAAACAAACAAAAAGATTATAGTCTGTAGTCGAAGTCCAGACATTGTTAAATAGATGTTGTTTTAATCACTTCACTTAAATTGTTAGGTAAACAAATAAATAAAAATACCAGGAAATTTCTGGATCAGAAATCCCCAGCATAAGGTCTTGAGAAGTGTTTTAAGGCCTCTACTCATACATCTTACCTAATAAAGATGAGGAGACTACTGACAATTTCACCAAGTGATAAGAAAATGCTTTTAGACAAAGGACTGTTGTTTTAGTCAAGAACAAATCTCAAGTTGTTCAGAAAACAGCCATGCCAAATTAGTCTGCTGCTCTTGATAGGATAATCAATGATGAATAACTTTTCTCTTTGGTGTTCTCTTCTAAAATGTATATACCATCTACCAACATTCGGGAATTTACTTTGCAGTTTTTCTATTGAAATTAATCCCTTGCTTGCTGTATATTCAGCACTTTGCCCCTTTGAAGTATCTTTGGAAACATGATCTTGCCATCTTCCTTTTCTTTTTCTTTTTTTTTTTTCCCATTTATTTATTTTATTGCATTTTAGGTTTTGGGGTACATGTGAAGAACATGCAAGATTGTTGCATAGGTATGAGAACACATGGACACAGGGAGGGGAGCCATCTTCCTTTTCTATAAAGGATAACCCAAGCTCAAATGACGAAGTAGGTGATATTTATTTTCAGTTTTCCTTTACCTCTTTTTAGCAAAAACCTCCTTGCATGCCTATGGTCCCAACTACTCAGCAGGCTGAGGCAGGAGGATCTCTTGAGGCTGAGAAGTCCAGACTGCAGTGAGCTGTGTTTGCACCACTGCACTCGCATTCCAGTCTGGGTGACAGAGTGAAACCCCATTTAAAAAAAAAAAAGAAAGAAAAAAGAATTACTAAAGAGAGTTTGATAAAAGGACTACTTACAAAGATGTCTTTTCCTCTTAAAATCAGGAACAAGACAAGGATGTCCATTTTTATTTAACATTGTACTGTAGGTTCTAGCTAGTGAAATAAGGCATCTAGATGGGAAAGGCAGAAATAAAAAAAAATA